TGTGTCAAGTTCAAGTTCAAATCAATCATAGTCCTCTGCAGTTCATTGTCATTTGCTTGGATTTAAATTCAATTAAGCTTGACTTCATTTAAGTCCAGGCTCAAATCAAATCCTCTATTGTTCGTCTGTTCTGAGTTCAAGTCTCTATTTAGTTCATTAGAGTGTAAATCCACAAGTCTTCTTGCGCATGATTCAAGTTGGAGTTCTTTATCAAGTTAAATTATTTATTAAAATGATTCAAATCTTGATCAATCATTTGATTTGCATTCAAGTACAAGTCCTCAAGTCCACTGTTCATTTGAGTCCAGGTTCTTGTCCTTTTGAGTTCAAATCAAGCCCGAGTCAAGTCTCACATTCACCTGAAATTTAAACAGCCTCCCAGCGTCTCTCCTGTTTAGGGGAAAATTCGAGAGACTGGGCCATCCCACCAAACTACTCGAGCGTGTATGGTAGGTGTCGGGGGACACCGGGCCGTACATTTTTTCAACCCACCACGCTACGCGAGTGTGTATAGGATCTTTAAAAGGTATCTGTACGAGATCACAAGTAGTTTTCCCTGCTACGTCACAAGGGTGTGTACAGGTACTTAAGTAACTTCCTCACCACGCTACAAGAGCGTGTATAGGGCTTACCCACTTGCCGTATGCGTCGCATCGAGCTCCCTCCTACCGTGCTACGAGAGCGCATATAAGTGGTTCTCCGGTCCGTTGCAAACGTCGAAAATGGGATTTTAGGAGATTACCCGCTTCGTTGTAGGTGTTGGACCGGATTTCCTCCCACCGTGCTATGAGAGCCGTATAGGGGGTTAACTTATAATAAATAATATATAATTATATTAAAAATAATTAACTATATTTAAATTGAATTAATAAAAAAATTAATACAAAATTTATACAGGATTAGAATAGGATTTATGCATGATTTATTCTAAATCATGTTTAAATCGTGTCATGGAGTTAAACTCCCCCTTTCCTCTCTCTGACTCGGCATTCTTACGAGATTTGGCCAAAGAAATGCACGAAAGGGGAAAGTTACCTTCAGACCAAGCGAATCCCGTGGTTGCTTCCGTTCAAAATGTCGTGACTTCAAATTCGATAGGAAGGCACGTCGTCGAAGGGGGCTTGGAGAGGAATCAGGTGGAGGCTAAGGCAAAAGGTATGGGAACTCCTCACTCTCTCTCTCTCTTTCTTTTTCTCTCTCTATCTGGATCGAACGGATCGAGAAAGGGGTTTTTGGCTACAGGAGGAGAGCTGGATGGGGTCGGTTATCTACTTGGGGCTCGGTCGACTTCGACAGACGGACAAAAGGTAGAATCGAAAGTAGGAAATAGCAACGGGAGCTCAGCTAGGGCTCAGTCGGAGGGCCTTCGTCGGGATTCCAGGAGCTTGGCTGGGTTCGGAAATAATGTCCGATCAAAGGTATGCAGACATCGATTGGGTTTCGGTTGTGGGAAGCAAGAGGGATCGGAGGGTTCGTGTGGAGAAGCCGAGAGTGGAAGGATCCGAAGGTCTCGCTCATTGGGCTTTTAACGACAAGAAGAAGGTGAGGATCGAGGTGCGATTTCAGGAAATGACGCAAACGGCACCGTAGGAACAGTAACTCAGCGGGATTTCTTGCGAGATTTACGGAGGCTTTCGGCGGCATTTTGATGGACACGAGGTATTTTGCTCCCTTTTTGTTCTTTTGTAAAAAGGTCAACAGTTTCCCCACATATCCAAACAATATGAAATTAGATATCCTCTATAAAAGAGTGAGCTAGAATATGTCAGGGACAATATGAAAGTAAGTATATTGGCATTTATCAGACATGTGCCGTACTGCAAACAGTAAAGGAAGTACAATAGAAACACAAATCATAGGATAAATATATGTACAATCTAGGGATTTAAACAAATGTACTCTTTCATTCCAATTTGCCTCTCAGGATTCTACAATAGAAACCCAATTAAGTTGAGATAAGCTAGGATGAAGGACGGCTTAGCAAGAAATCTAAATTTGATAAGAAAAAATGCATACATATTCTAATAAGGAGGATTATGAAAAAGAATTGGCGGTGAGATGACGGATTTACCTTAGCTAACTGTAGTTATTCAAGTTGAACCAACAGTGTCCATAGCGAGGAAGGAAAGAAAGCCGAATCAGGAGTTATTCAACCTTGCATTACTGCATGTCAAAGTCGAGGCCCACAACACCGCTCACCTGCTCTTTCGACCTAACCGAGGCCTGAACGTTTCCTGCACTCACAACTTCGACTTCGTTTCAAGCTTTCGAAACTGTTATTGCTTTCGGCTTTGTTTCCTGCGTCGTCTCCTTCCGACTTCGTCTCCTGCACTTACGGCTTCATCTCCTTCCCTCACGACTTCATCTCTATCCCTCACGGCTTCGCCTCTAGTTCACCTTTCAATTCTCACAGGAAGCCCTAATCATATATGCGAATACGCGAATATAAATCGACTGCGTCGTATTTACATATATAACGAAAAAAAAAATTTAAGGTGGTGCCTCATTGCCTTGAGGCGTTACGCTCTGATGCGTACTGCTCCTGCAAAAAAATCGTAGGCTTTGCTGGATGGTTCGAGGCGTAAGTCCCGATACGCATGACTTCCGCCTCAACTTGAGGCGCGACTCAATGCGGACTCCTCGTCCACTTTTTTAATGGTTGATTGGGAAGGAATCATAATTCCACAGTAAGACTAGCATAGTGTCGAAAATGGCAACAATCTGCGTGGACTCTATTGCTAAAGAAATAGCAGCTAATTACCACAATGGAAGGTAAATGGAAGGACCTGCCCAAAAGAGCAAATCATAGATCAACTATGTTTTAAAATAAAATTTAGTATCAAGTAGTAGAAGAGATGATGCAACTTTTACATTCTAGGCCTCTGGTTTTTAAAATTAAAAACATCAATGATTTATGAACGACTTAATTATGGGATGCCAGGCCAACCAAACGTAATCGGGCCTTTTCAAAACTCACAACCATGCTGACCAAAGCGTTACCAATATGAGTTAAGTTATAAGAGGGTCAACAAAAGGTAACACTATTACTCCAAGCCTCCTTTAAGTTGTTACAGAGTGAATGTAAGTGATTACTCTTTTTATTGAAGTAGCAACAATAGAAATCACTCCTATGGAGACTATTTAGTTGTTTGTTTTCAAAATCGCTTTGGTAATTTGCTGGTATTTCATTTTTCATGAAGCAATCTTTCTTCATAGTGATCCACCACCATGACTTACTTGGACTAAGAAAATTACTTTTTTTTAACTGACAGCATAGCAAATGAAATATTTGGCATGTAATTCATACTTTCTTTTGTTAGCTGCTATTGCCTCTTTCCAAAATTTGCACTACAAAATATTATTAGGTGAACTTCAAACTGTTTGACAATTGTCAAAGACTGGCAGAAATTTAATCTATATTGGTGTTTGCCTTAATTAGCTATCAAGGACATAATCCACTCGACAGAATTTTCTTATTTTGATATTCAACAACAACAACAACAACAACATCAAGCCTTTATCCCACTACGTGGGGTCGGCTACATGAATCCTTTTTCTCCATTGTGTCCTATTAAAAGTCAAATTCTCGTTTAAATCTAACAAAGAAAGGTCATTCCTAATATTTTCTAACCAAGTATTTTTAGGTCTACCCCTACCTTTCTTAACAAAAGTCAAATCTAATACCTCTACTCTCCTAACCGGGTCATCGCAAGGCCGCCGTTTTATGTGACCAAACCATCTAAGGCGACTTTCTCTAATCTTATCTTCTACTGGAGCTACTCCAACCTTTTCACGTATATGCTCTTTCGTATCCTATCTCTAAGGGTAAAGCCACTCATCCACCTGAGCATCCTCATGCCACCCTTAACTTAGTATTATGCTTCTCTTCTAAAGGCCAACATTCGGCACCATAAAGCATTGCAGGCCTCACTACCATCTTATAGAATTTTCCCTTAAGTTTGAGGGGTACATTTCTATCACATAACAAGCCCGATGCATTCCTCCACTTCAACCATCCAACTTGAATTCTACTGATAATATCCCCATCTATTTCACCATCACTCTGAACAATAGATCCAAGATATCTAAAACGTGTACTCTTATTAATGACTTGATCGCCCAAAGTCACAAACCCCTCACTAGGTCTATTACTACTAAAATTACACTCCATATATTCCGTTTTAGATCTACTCAAGCGAAAACCTTTAGACTCTAAGGTTGACCTCCATAATTCAAGTTTACCTTCAACTCCCTCTCTAGTCTTATCAACAAGAAGAATATCATCAGCAAAAAGCATACACCAAGGTACATCCTCTTGCAAATGTCTAGTGAGAACATCCATGACTAAAGCAAAAAGATATGGGCTTAAGGCTGATCCTTGATGTAACCCAACCGAAATAGGGAAATACTTGGTCAATCCACCTTGTGTTTGAACACAAGTAAAAGCTCCTGCATACATATCTTTAATGATTTGAATATAAGCATTATTGACTCCTTTCTTTTCAAGAACTCTCCATAGCACTTCTCTTGGAACTTTATCATATGCTTTTTCTAAATCAATAAATATCATATGTAGATCCTCCTTATTTTCTCTATATTTCTCCATCAAACCTCTTAATAAATGTATGGCTTCCATAGTCGACCTACCCGGCATGAATCCAAATTGATTTTGAGAAACATTAGTATCACGCCGCAACCTATGCTCCAAAACTTGCTCCCATAGTTTTAAAGTATGACACATTAACTTAATACCTCTATAATTCGCACAATCTTGTACATCACCTTTATTCTTAATACCTCTATAACACCTTGTGTTTGATATTCTACTAGCTAAATTTGAACAAACTAGTAAAAACAAGAGATATCATGCAATTACTTCAAATGTTTGTTAGTGCTAGGCTATGAGTGAAAGGTTTGGTATGCATTGGAACTTGCATAATAACTTCTTAATAATAGCAAAGCAAAAAGAACAATACTCAGTTTAAACTACACGAACTTACTGAATAAGAGCCCAATAGACGATCACGAGTAAGAACGTCTGGAGTCTTTACCCATATCTACAAGATCAATGAAGAATATTGCCTTTTTCATACATCAACATATATATTTCAGCATAAAAGACTTCCCTAGTTTTTAACAATAATAGCAATATCAAGCTTTTATCCTACTATGCGGGATCAATACTAACATTGTCAGGTCCCAAGTCCTGGATGTAAAAAATTGAGGGTTGCGTTAGGTAGTTGACAGCTAGCGTAAAACTTGTTGAATAATGTTAACTTCTCTATTTTTTACAAATTGAATTTTTTAATAGCTAAAGAATGATGGCCATGCCATATGAATATAAATGTTGGGCAAGAAAAGTTGATAGCTAAGTTAAAAATGACAAAAATGAGAATTCTAAAATTGATGTGCAACCAAATTGAGAAAGAGAAATGAAAAAATAATAATAATTATGTTAGAGGGATTGTAGGGTAGAAACTATATTCATTAGATGAATAGATAAACTTAATGTTTCCAAATGCAAAAATTAAAATTGGTGTAAAACAAAATAAGTACTATGAAGAACAAAAAACCATATCTGCGGTAACATATAAAAGTTACTTAAAATGATTTTCAAATAATAGGACGAACAGCTCTTATTCCACACTAATCGTAAATAAATGAAACAAGAGTACTGTCACACTACCCAACTCACAATTGAAAAAAGCCTAGATGAGCTGGAATAAAGGAATTGGTGCGATATATAGTCAAATGAGGGTTATCAAGCTTTCTCTCTCTGTATCAGCACATCAAAACTTAGTTTTCGACCCATCGGCATCATAGCATTTCTCAATAAAAAAAATGAGGATCCATAAACCCTATTCTAAAAATCATACTAATGAAGATGAGATAAGAGCCTACCCTAAAGCTCTCACCTGCCCGTCATACCATCCCGTCTCCTCATCTACAATAAAATAAATAAAAAGAAAAAGATAAAAACACATCTCAGAATACTGTGAAATTATCGAATGAAGCAGAGAAAGACAAAACTGATTCCAGATTTATACAGTCAACCGTAGCGCTGAGCAAGCGATTGCCAACATAGGCCCATCCAAGATACATCCGGAGCACGACAAGCATGACGAAAAGGATTCCAGAAGAAGCCGCGCCGAGACCGCAACTGAGAGCGACGGCCGATGTGTTGGTGACATCGGAATTGCCGAAAGTAGCAACGGGGAGGCCGACGAGGATCGCGAAGGAAGATCCTAAAAAAGAGAGCCTGATACAGTAGTCACGGAGATTTGCTGAGGCCAAGGAGAAGGGAAATGAAGAGGAGAGGGCCTGGTACTCGTTCACCGGCTGCTGATCCCAAGGAACAGGGCACTCTGTCTCCGGCGGACTTCCGTTCCTGAAAGACGGCGACGAGGAAGCGATTGTCACCGACCTTTTAGTGCTCGAGCCGATCGGGGTCCTCTGAGGGTATGTTTTTGGAGAAAGGTGATAGGGTTTTTGGGCAATCAATATGGCGGGAGCCATAGAAGCTGCCATGAGCTGATAAACGGAAACGGCGATCGTTGAGCAGGTTTTTATTATTATTTAATGGCTGTATTTTCCTTTTTCTTTGGGAAACTGATAGGGCTTATGAGTTAAATCATGAAAAATTGTAAAGTTTTTAAAGGGATCTTAAGCTCACTAATGCTCAAAAGAACTATAAAAAAAAATGAAAAAAAAAATTAAGAGCTCGAGTTCCGTGCTAAGCAAAAATACAATATACCGTAGGTACATTATATGAGGCACAAGAGCGAGCACCCAAAAAGAAGGAAGCACATAAAAATTTGCATCCATATACAGCTTCCTATCCAAAAATCCACCATGACAAACACATGCCCTAAGAAAATTGTGAAAAAAAAAAAAGGTGAAGCCCAAGATAAAAGTAACATAAATAAAACTAAAAACTAACAAAATGATAGATCCAGCAATCATCCACATAACAGCCAAGATGGTCAACATAAACCTTATAAAACACATTAGCATAGGCACAGAAAATGATGTAGACCTTAAATAACCTGTTAACCACAAAAATTAATACAAATAAACAAACTAGCAAGTAAATCACAACACCAAAATAACCCCAACTCCTCAACAAAGTGTCAGGAACAATTCAACCAAGTAAGGCATCACATATTCCACACCAACCAACAACAATAGGAAAGAAAAAGCCACACCTGATATAATAATAAGGAGAACACCAAGAAGCAAGCAAAAAGAGCTCTAGAATATAACCAGACCCCACAAGGCACACAGGGTCCTAGACTGGGGCCAAAGCCTGCTCGAAAAAACACACAACCAGACAGCCAAGCACAACCCCTAGGAAGAAACAAAACCCTCAAACAGAAGGGAGACAAGGCTACTGCAGAGAGAACCAACAGTCCAGAAAACAACAAAGAAGTAGCAGGACATGGCCACCCGAGCACCCTCAAAACCATTCATGACTACAAAGACAATGAATTCTGGAAATCACAAAACCTGACCAAGCAGCATAGCTACAACCTAAGCAGAAACAGAGCAATAAGAAAAAATAATAACATAGGTAAAATTCCCAGCATAATAACAAAGAGTCAGCCCCCATAACCAAAGAAAACGGGACCAAAGGCTCCAGCCAACAACAAACATTAAATTCTAATATAGGGCATACCAATTTTATTTAATCTTAAAAAGACCTTTCAGCAGAGCAGGGAGTTTAGTGGTAATAAAATCAGAAAAGCAATCAAAGACACACCCCCAATTAGCAAGCCATTTCGCACAAGCATTTCCTCCTTGTGAACAAAAGAGAAAGAATAGTTCATAAAGATCAACAATTTGTTAATATTCCTCGCCAGATAAAAAAGAGTAGAATTACACACTGTATCCTCAACAGAATTTAAAAATTGAAAATAATAACTGGAATCAACTTCAATACCAATGTTAGTTAAGTCAAGAGAAATGTATAATCTTAAACCATGGAGAATAGCAAAGATGAAAGCATAGTTAACATCACAATTCCTTAAAGGACCGGCAAAAGTAATAATGAAAATACCATGAGAATCCCTGATAACCCCACCAAAACCTGAAGAGGACCAAAAGATAGCACCATCCACATTTAGCTTATAAGAGTTATTTGGGGGTATGATCCAATAATTAAACCTAGGTTCTTTAGAAAGATGATCAACCTCCAACTTAAGACCTAAATCATATGCTACAAAAAAATAATTTTTAAAATTCTTTACAGAGAGCACCTTAATAGAATCAAGAGCCAAAACCTTATCTTTCACATTCTAGATAATCCTGTTGAGATTGTTGCAACTTAGTTTTTCGATTATTGATATTCCTGCAACATGCATATTTTTGATGATTCCAAATATTATTATTTTAATTATAATTTTTCCTAACATAATTTGGATGTATTATTTTATTGTTTTGTGTGTACTAACCTTTCAGAAAAATCATACTCTAGATTGTTGAATACTTTAAATCAGATTAGGGTTTATTGGAAATGAAGTCTATATTTTCATTTTATTGAGTATGAGAGTATGATTATAATTGAGTAATTGTGTACAAAAACACTAAAGATTAGTTTAAAATCTATAATTTTTAAACTGATCGTACTGTACAAAGTCCAGGATAATTTGTTCAGTTATTTTCTCTTACAGGAAGTCAAACAAATTATAGGTAGAGAATTTTTTTAAGTATGGATCATACTGTACAAAGCTTCCTTCATGCGTACACCATCTAGAGTACGAATTAGATGAGTCCCTTTTCATCTAGATGAACTTAAAATTTTTCTACTAACACCTAGAGGGTGTAAACAGACGATGGTTCTCTATTGACACTTGGATGGTGTGAAAGGATAACGGTTCTCTGCCGACACTTGGAGAGTGTGAAAGGATGACAGTTCTCTGCTTACACTTAGATGGTGTGAAAGGACGATGGTTCTTTATCGACATTTAGAGAGTGTGAAAGGATGACGGTTCTCTATTGCACCGGGGATTAGTAGAAGAGATGAATTGTAAAGGCTTCTCCGCCTTACTATGGGGGCGAAAGGATAGTCACTTTTGGTAATAGTGCAATACCTATAAAAAGAGTCTTCAGGGAGTGAATGTAGGTTGTGTTTGACCGAACCACTGTAAATATTTGTGTCTTTTAATTTTCTAGATTTATTTTATATAATTTGTTTTACTATGGTTGAAAAGCTAATTTTAATATAAAATCAAATTATTATAATATTTAAAACAGTTCTCTATTTAAAAAAGTTAAAGAGAATTTTTAAATTATCAATTAACCCTACCTTTTGGTTAGCCTTGAGACAATATCTTAGGTTAAATAACATATACGGAATCAACAAGTGATATCAGAGTTTTGTTTCAAAATCATAAGTTTAGACTACTTTTAGAAAAATAAAAATGACTACTTTTGAAAATTGAAACACACCAGAAGGGTATTCAATCACTAGACCTCCGTTATTTGATAATATCCCTTTCAATTTTTGGAAAACACATATGTCAACATTTCATCAATCCCTATATTATCGCATGTGGGTTTTAGTTCAAAAAGGGTATACTAGGCCAACTAAACTAGTAGATGGCATTAGAGTTGAAACACCCTTTTTTGACTGGACTATAGAAGAATGTGACTTAGCATAATTAAATGCAAAATATTTGAATAGTTTTTTTTGTGCACTTAAGTCAGAAGATTATATGTGGGTTTTCACTTATAAAAGTAGAAAGAACATCTGGGATAGACTTTATATTACTTATGAAGGCACTACTGAAGTAAGATAATCTAGATTAAATATCTTGTTATATTACTATAAATTATTTAGCATAAAATCAAATGAATTCATTTATGATATGTACATAAGCTTCACTCAAATAGTCACTTCTTTGCATACATTAGATAGAAAACTAAAGAATGTTGAAATGGTTAATAAAATTCTTTCTTATTTGTCTACTTCTTATGATGCTAAAATAACTGTAATTACAGAGTTTAAGGACTTAAATAATTACTCTATTAATAATCTTCTTGGATCACTAATTGCTTATGAGCAAGGAGTGAGTCAAAGAAAGATTGATGCAGGAAAATAACGGAAGGAAAAGAACATAACACTGAAAGTGGATGATTTAGAGAGTGACTAGTCACTACTTGAGGATAAGGATGATATTGCCTTGATGACAAGGAAATTTAAGAGTTTTCTTAAAAGGAAGCAGAGGAGATGCCAGCAGTGGAACAAAGGTAAGTTCCACAAAAATATTAAGGTTTTTAATGATGTTATTTTCTATGAATACAGGAAACCTAGACATGTAAAATTGGATTGTCCTAATCTTAAAGCCACTCCTAACAAGAAGAAGGTAGAGGAGAAAGCAAATGAGAGAAAGGGCAAGAAGAGATTTCAGAAAGCTTTTTGGGCGGACTTAGCTTCGAATTTGTCAGAAATAGAGAAGGAAGAGGAAGTTACCAACCTATGTTTAACGACCAAAAATCTTGATAAGTCCAATCAAGAAGAGGTATGTGACTTAACCTATAATGAATTACTTGAAGTTTTTGTAAGAATACATGCTTCATATAGAAAACTTAAGAAAATACATACTAGATTGAACATAGAATTGCAAGAATTATAAAAGAGCATAAAATCCTTATGAATTATCACACATAGATATAAAACAACCACAAGAGCTTACTTGATGAATTCGATGAATTGAATAAGCAAAATGAGAGAACGTCTGGATTTTTCTAGAGAGAGAAAGTTCGTCTTCCTGTTTTTGAATTTTGTTTTTCGCGAGATCTCCGCGATCGGTGGTGGCAGCTTCGGATGATCGCCGACGTTGTTTTGGCGGCATCATGAACGCTCTGCGACCTAACGGATCTCTACGTCCCAATGGTAGAGGTTCGAATGGTATTGTGATCAGAGAAGGAGAAGTACCCTGTTTCCGTCAAGTTCCAGTTGAAGGTAAGGGAAAGAATTTGTTGGTTGAAAGTATGGCTTGGAAGAAAAGTTTGGGTGTGAAAAGAAATCCAGGTTTGGCAATTCTTGAACCATCGGCTTCGGATAATTTAATTCTTCGTGTGAACAAATTTTTTGGAGTTCTTGATATGCTTAAGGGGAGTAATATCGAAGACGACTTGATATCGATGGAAGCTCTGAAGGAAGTTGAAAATGTGGAGGATCGTAGTTTAGATCCTGTGGATCCTGAAATCCATAAGAACAAGATTAATGAGGTTGCTGAAGCTTGGTCGAAACCGAAACCAATCAAGATATCATTAAATAGGGATCAGGTTGAATTTTCAGAGGATGGCATTGCTGTTAAATTGAATGCAGATATGGAGGCAAAGAATTCTCAAATTTTAAAGTATTCGGTGGTGATTACAGTATTGGGTAATAATGTGCCTTATTCGATTTGTAGTATAGAATTGAGAAGGCAATGGAGTAAATTTGGTGGATTCCACTTGACGTCTATTGGTATGAACTGGATTTTGTGTTCATTCCATACGAGTGAGGTGGTTTAAGAAGTTCTGAACGGTGGACCCTGGTATGTGAACGGATCCATTGTTGGTATGGATAGGTGGTCGACAGCATTTGATCCGAATACGTTTAAA